AAAAAAAAATTATAAACATAACTGTCATTACTTCACATAATTTCGATCCATTGATTTGATGTTAATTTTCTTTTGAATTGTTTGTTCGATTTGGATGATAGATCGACTCTTCAGGAATGTTACTGTCTACTGATTTAAAAAAAAAAAATCATTTTTGAACAAATACCAGGTGTTATGATGTTAGGTTTTGGTTCTACTATTCGTAACACCCTATGGTGTGCACTAGCAACAATAGCAACTTACAATTAATAGCTAACTTTAGCCTTATCTTTTCATAACATTTCCTTTTTTGATTTACTTTTTTTATCTGTTATTAGAGGACTTAAGCAGTTTTTTAGCACGTTTTTATTGACTTTTTTGCATGTTTATATGCATACATTGAAAAATTGAAATTAGTGTCAGGCAATGCATAAAAAACAAAAAACTAAAAATAACAAAGTCAGTTTGTGTCGTGTCCATTGTTGCGATAGATTTCTATACTTTCTCGTAAATTTAAATTGTGTGCTAAATTATAGCATAATGAATGCTTAACATCATTTAACATGTCATTTAACTGATGAAGAGGCCGTAAGTGCAATTGCCCTGATTGAAGATGGGCGAAGTCAAAGGTACGTGACTACTGTAATTGGTGTTTAAGAGTACCATTTCAAGTGTTATAAGGCATTATAGGGAGATTGGACAGTATTCTAGGAGGGATCGGCAAGGACATAGGAGAGTTACTACAGCTGTAGATGATCGTTTTTTACGAGTAACAGCCTTAAGGACTCGACACTGCACTGCCCGATTGCTTCAAACTGAACTCTCAGCAGCTGGAAATTTAAACATTTCTTTACAAACTGTAAGAAATCATCGCTGTAAACAGAATATACGACCAATGGTTCCTGCAACAGGCCCAAATTTTGGAGGTGGGACAACCATGGTATGGGGAAGGATTTCGTTTCATGGACGCACGAGTTAGTCAATGAAGGAAGGATGACATCCGATCAATACATAAGGGATATTCTAGAACCTCATGTGATCCTATATGGCCTTTTCATAGGTGACAATTTTATACCAATGCACGATAATGCATGGCCGCGGTGACAGATATTAATCTAATAGAGCACGTATGGGATCATTTAGGATGGGCAATTCAACAAGATCAGATTTCATGTAGAACAATGAATGAACTCCAAATTAAATTGAATGTGATGTGGAACAATATGGATGAGGAATATATTACACATTCTCACTGAAGGGCTACCAAGGCGAATACAAACTGTAATTTGAGCGACGGGGGAAATACACGTTATTAAAAATTATTGCCTCCTAAATTTGGTTTGTTGTTGTTTGTTTTTGTAAAAATTTAATAAAAATTGTTTCTATTGTTGTTTTTTTGTTAATCCTGTATATCTCCTCTAATAAAAGATAAAAAAGTGAATAAAAAAAGGGAATGTTACAAACAATGTGGTTAAAGTTAGCTATTAATTATAACGTGCTATTGTTGCTGGTGCACACCACAGGGTGTTACGAATTGTTGGACCACACCCCAACATCATCGGAACACTCGGTATTTGTTCAAAAATGATTTTTATTTAAAAAATCAGTAGATAATAACATTCCCGATAAGTCAACCTATCTTCCAAAAAAAAAGATCATCCAAATCGACCAAACGATTCAGAAGAAAATTATCATCAAACTTAATGTCAATTTATGGTGATGCGATAATACCTGTGGGGTGTGTACATATACAGGGTGAGCCACGGTGGAGTATTAGAAGTATATGGAGAATGGATCAACTGATTGCTTTGAAATTTTGGTTACCAAGATAATTGAGTATGATCTCTCCAACTAAAATATTTTCGAAAGTGCGGTGTTGCCACTTATACGTAAAACTGGCAACATCTTCGTTATTTTAAATGGAATACCCTGTATATTTTTGCGTTTTCTGGATCGTCGTCTGTTTCTGAGTAACTTTTATTAATATTTCCCTATACCTATCTCAAGCCGTTTTCGAGATAATAATTCTTTTCTGAATTAATGGCCAAAAATTTGACTTTCAGTAAATCGTGTTTTCTCCTACCTACGCAGCAATTAAAAGATAATTTTTTAGTTTCGGCTAGGCAAGGCCTGGGGGCATCTCCTCCATTAATCAAATGTTTCGAATATCGTACAGGGCGAGTTAGAGAACGCTTTCTACAAGTGACTTAGAAAAATGCACGAAAGTCAATTTTTTTAAATAGAATGCCCTGTATATTATTACTGATTCGGAAAGGCGATACATTTACCTCTTTAAAAAGGTAATATACTCTATACCTAATGCACACCGTTTTCGATTTATGGGCACTTTTCTGTAACCTTACCAAGAATATTAGTCTTCTGGTATATCATAACTGGGTGGGCCATGACATTTTTGTTTTGTCATTTTGTAATGACAACAGATGTTATTTTTCTAAATAAATTTGGCGTTAGTGATATTTGCACCTAATTTGAATAGCTATGTAGCACAAATATGGCAGAAAATAATTATACAAACACGGTTTTAATTGATTTGTTTATTATCCATGGGCAGTGCAATAAGATTATCAGCAGAACTTGTAGAAGATTTAATGAGAAATATCCGAATTTGCCGCAGATCAGAGGAATTTTATAAATTTTGGTTCATCATTAAGAGAACAATAACAGTGTCAGTATTAGAGAAAAATAATAACTAAGCAGCAACAACAGTAACAAAGTCTAAGTAGCAATAACAAATAATACCAATAACAGTAATAAATATAAAAATCTTAAAAATATTGTTATAATTGTTCGAAATGTAGACCGTTAACTTCCAGACACTTTTGTATACGACGATGGACGACGTTTGTTGTAGCAGCTCTTATTTCAGCGGGGTCCAAGTTTTCAATCTCTTGAATCACTCGACGTTCTAATTCTTCCCTGTTGTGGACTGGAGTTTTATAAACTCTATCTTTAAGAGTACCCCAAAGATAAAAATCTAACGGGGTAAGGTCAGGGGACCTCGGAGGCCAATTCCACGGTCCCAAACGTCTAATCCAACGATCATCGAAAAAGCGGTCCAACTCCATACTAATTTCGTGTGTACAATGTGCAGGAGCCCCGTCGAGTTGATACCAATAAGTTATATATTTTTCAATTGACATAATATCAAGGAAGTCTTCCACTATTGTTCTAATTATACCTAAATATTTTCTGGAATTCAATTTTTCGTCGTATATGTAATATTTTATTTTGTCATTCATTAACATACAAAACACATTGAAACTAAATTTGACTTGAAAGCCAGCCTTTCTAATAACGTGGGGTTGTCTGTGGCCCAATGGTGACGATTTCGTGTGTTACAAATCCCTTCCCTAGAAAATTTTGATTCATCAGTCCATATAATTTTCTTTAAAAAATTGGAGTCCTCTTGCATACGTACAAGTAACATTTCATAAAATTCTATTCTCTGTAGATAATCCTGAGGCATGAGAAATTGGACTCTTGTAAATTTGTAATTATGCATTTTATGGTTTGCTAGTATTCTTCGAATGGATGAATATGGCAATGCTAAATCCCGCTCAGCACAACGTATGGAATACTGGGGATTTGCATGAAAATATGCTAGCACATTGATTTCATTTACCTCGTCAGATGTCACAGGTTTAGGTAAATTTCTTGCTTCTCTTAATGACGAACCAAAATTTATAAAATTCCTCTGAATTCGTAAAAACTTTCTGTTGTTCATCTGCGGCAAATTCGGATATTTCTCATTATCTCTTCTGCTGAAGTTCTGTTGATAATCTTATTGCACTGTCCATGGATAATAAACAAATCAATTAAAACCGTCTTTGTATAATTATTTTCTGCCATATTTGTGCTACATAGCTATTCAAATTAGGTGCAAATATCACTAACGTCAAATTTATTTAGAAAAATAACATCTGTTGTCATTACAAAATGACAAAACAAAAATTTCGTGGCCCAGCCGTTATGATATACCAAAGGACTAATATTCTTGGTAAGGTTACAGAAAAGTGCCCATAAATCGAAAACGGTGTACATTAGATATAGAGTATATTACCTTTTTAAATAGGTAAATGTATCGCCTTTCCGAATCAGTAATAATATACAGGGCAATAAATTCAGAAAAGAATTATTATCTCGAAAACGGCTTGAGATAGGTATAGGGAAATATTAACAAAAGTTACTCAGAAAGAGACGACGATCCAAAAAATGCAAAAATATACAGGGCATTCCATTTAAAATAACGAAGATGTTGCCAGTTTTACGTATGTGGCAACACCGCACTTTCGAAAATATTTTAGTTGGAGAGATCATACTCAATTATCTTGGTAACCAAAATTTCAAAGCAATCGGTTGATCCATTCTCCATATACTTCTAATACTCCACCCACCGTGGCTCACCCTGTATATTAAGTATTTCTGGTGCAAAAAAAGAAACAGCATTATAAAATAGTTATTTCCATTTTAAAGTTTAAATTTGTTATAATTACGTCACTACGCGTAAACTAGGGAAATCACCAAAAATTTGTTGGAGCACTGACAAGATGCTACTTCTATTATTTTGTGGTGATTTCTGATTTAGCATTTTTGTTTATATAGTTGTTTTAAACCATTCTAAAGGCACACAAATATGTAGGAGGTAGATCAGATTATTTATCTGTTACATTTTTAAAATAATAAACAAACGAAAAATGAGGTTATGGTCAAATGTCAAATTTGGTACATACAACTGCTGATTATGAAATACCTTGAAATTAAATACACTTAGCATTCTATTCGAATTTGTGCTTAGTGATGTCACAAAAGTTTGACAATTTGAGACAATCAAAACTAAAAAAATTTAATATTAGTCAATTTTTTTTAAAGCAAATAAATGTTGCGTTTGGTATTTGCCTCAAGACTGCTTAAATTGCTCCGCATCGTTCATTTATTGCAGCCAGAGGGAAGGGAAGTGAAGCATTTTGACTGACTGGGATCATCTTAATTTGTGAGTTTATGGCTTCGTAGTTGAGTGGTAAGGACACTTGCCTCTCACCCTAAAGTCCCGGGTTTGGTCCCCGTCGAGGAGCTAGAAGCCAGAAATTAATCCTAGCATACTCGGATGTTGGGTGCGTGTCCATTGTCTCTAAATGTGTAGCCCTCTCGCGCACAAGGTACTTTGAGGTACCTTCAGGGATACAGGGAGTTGTATTTTCTGTGGTGTGTGTGTGTGTGTTTAATCAGCTTGCTTATTTTTGTACTTTTTGTTTTTAGAAAAGTATAAAAATGAAAGAAATAGAACTCTCGAATCTAAGCAACAAAGTTTTTAAATTAATGTTCATTGAGGTTGTCCTTAATATGAAGAAATTGTCTTACGTGGAAGTAAGTAAAATTATTTTAATTTAATTTTATTCTAGAAAATCACACATCCACTTGTTGCAAGTAGGCAGTGAAATTTAGGATATGTCATATCTAAGTATTGGACCATGAGACCCAAGCGATACTTTAAGGCATAGCTATCAAGACTAAAAAGAAGTTTTGCAGAAAAAAAAAATTGCGATTGAAATTTGTGAAAAAAAGTTGGAAACATTGTGAGCATCGGTTATTTTTTTAAATGATTTGCATAATATTTGCAAAACATTTTTTTTCCAGAATTAGGTAGAAAATATAACGACAGATTTCAAATTTCATCAAAAAATATTGGTTTTTTTATAAAGTTACACCGTTTTGAAATTTTATTTTAGATTCATTTTTCACTGTGCAAATTTCAAAAAGCTATTTTTTTTATTAAATTTGAAATCCGTCGTTATTTTCCACCTGATTCAGGAAAAAAATGTTTTGCAACATATTTTACAAATCGTTAAAAAAAATAACCTTGGAGGCTCACAATTTTTCCAACTTTTTTTGCAAATTTCAATGGCAATTTTTATTCTTCAAAACTTCTTTATTTAGTCTTGATAGTTATGCCTTAAAGTATTGCTTGGGTCCCATGCTCCAATACTAAGATATGAAATAGTCTAAATTTCACCAGCCGCGGCTGCAAGTAGGTTCATATTTTAGGTTTAACTGTTGCTGCGAGTCTTAATCTTACAAAAATCAAATGAACATGTTTTCAAAAATCACGAAAAAACTAGGTAATTTTACCAAAGAACGAAAATATCTATTTCATTCATTCATTTGCCGATTGTCCGTCTTATCTGCAGTCACATGACCAAAATCTCTTTGCATCCGCGAGCATAAAATACTAAACGCAACTAATATATAAAATTAACATTATTTATATTATTTCAAACCATAAAGTAAAACTGTACAGAAAAATATTTTATGATGTTTTAGTTTAAAATAGCAGGACTTGTACAGCTTGTAGAAAAGACAATCTATTTCATTTCGAAGATACAACGCGATAACGAATGTTTGTAAACATCAATTTTGACAATAATTAATCATGCATAACCAACTGAAAAACTTACCATTTGGATAAAAACTAGTATGTTGATAATTTGGCACAGGAGGTGTATTGGCTTCTGGTAGAGACCGCTGTCTCATGGAACTATACCGCTTTGACCCTTTTTGTTCTGATTGTAAACGAGGAGGAACACTACACTGTCTCTGATTATGTTTTACACCCTTATAAGAATTATCTACGCTTAATTTGCTCATGTCTTTTTCAATATCTTGAATGCTATTTTTATTTGTAAAATTTTGAGTTTGGATGAAATCATCTTTTGACTGATTACGAGGTGGAAGTACCTTCTGTTGATCTATTTTAATATTCCTCTGTTGACGTGTTTTAGTAGTAAAACCTCTATAATCAGAGTCCTTTATTTCCTTTTTAGGTTTTACAATACGAGCAGTACTCACACGCTGCTGGTTAGTTTTGTTGTTTGGTATTTCTTCAATGCTACTTTTAGCAACATTATTTTCAAAGATGGATGCTTGAGAAGTATTATTTTCTCTACGAGGTTCATTCCTAGAAAAAAGTTTTAATTAATAAAGAAGATAACTGACTAACAATAATGATAAATATGACCACAAGATTACAACAAATAATTCGTGAATACTCGTACACTATTTTAAAAACAAAATTACCTTTCTTCTGATTTGCGGGTAAAACTTTCTTGTTCTTTTCTGTCATTAGATTCTGACTGATCTAATTGTTCATCAGGTGTTCTCGATTGGTTTCTACCAAGAGGAGGGAATTCCTCAATATTTTTTTTAGGTTTGACTACTGGTTTTTTAACTCTGGTAAGTGGTGGTTTATTATAAGCATCCTCATCCTCCCAATTACGCGTGTATTTATTTGGACCTCGCCTTAAAATATAGAACTATATAGCTAGAGGTATGTATAAAATATGTGCTAACATTAAGTATTTTTTTTCTTACATTATGTATTTATAAGGTATGGTCTCGTCCATGTAATATATTTAGAGATATGTTCTTTTTTGGAAATAATGTCAGGCCTTAATTTTAATTTATTTTGTTTTAAAATAAGGTAAGAATTTATTTCCATCTACTTAATTATTTTTAAGTAAGGTTCTTACTTGTAGCCCTGAAGATGACCAAAAATTTATCGAAACATCGCCGAAAGTTTAATTTAATAAAACAGTGTGAAGTCTAAAGGCCCAACAATTTTTTTTATCGCTGTAATTATGTATTTACTAATTAAATTTATCTAATATGTAAAGCCGTTACATTGTAATGCACTTTATCGAGCGGATATAGAGAGCATACGTTCTACGTGCGCTAAGAACTATGTAATTCAAAGATTTCCAGTAATAACTAGATAATCTCGGCTTGTTGTTAAGCACAATAATCGATGGCTGCTAAGTGTGCTTACTGTGTCTTAGGTTATAAATACTTTTATTAGTTTTACTCTGCTTTTAGTGCCATTTTATATACTTCATTTATTTTTTGTCTGGTCTTTAATGTGGTGTGATGGAAGCGGAGAAGAAAAAAGCAGGTCACGTTGTTACAAAAACTATAAAAATAAAAGGTACAATGGAACATTTTTTTTCTTTTCCTCGTGATCCTGAAAGGTAAGTAACTTTATCTATGCAAAATATAAAATGTAAATTTGTTATTTACATTGTTAAATTAAAAGGGTTACTTGATAATAAAAAAATACTTGCTATGTATGCAATTCATATTTTTGCTTTTTTTCAAGGGGTTTTTTTGATGTTACAAAAAAAATGCAAATTGTTTTTAGTAGGAATATTAAAGAGAATGCCAAACGAAAGTTTTTCTAAATTTAGTTATTACCAACGATATCGATATTTTGTATTTATTTATATTTTTTCAACAATCTTTTTTTTTATTTTAATTTATTTTATGTCTACACATGTAAGTAGAAGCGATGTGTAGGCAATTTTTCTAAAATATTGAGAAAAAGTTTTTCAAATAAAAAATAAAAATATTTCACACTGTTAAATTTATGAGCAGAAATTTTAAAACTGGCAAACAAAACAAAAAAATAATAATTTGGAGATATCAATAAAGCATTTGTTTTTTTTTATAATTAGCTATTTTCTTTTGTAACCTAAAAAATTTTTAGCATTCATTATTCAATTAAGTATTAATAATAAAATTTTTGCCGATTGTGTATTCTGCAGAATTTATTTTAAACATGTAAAGTGTTAAAAATGAAAATATATGTATACACCTGGCTGCACAAACTGCAGAGTATACTATAGACGGTTTATTGAAGATGTAAGTGTATGCTGACAACCATGAACAACAGTTAATGGACATGATATATGAGGTAAGTCTTTATAAATTACACCATGCCCTTCACCAGTAAGTCCATTTCTAAAAACTGGCCGGCTTTACCAATATACCTTCTGTTGTTAACAATACTTTATATTATACCATGTGTAAAATGGCTAATGTGGCCAAATGTTTCAAAAGACCGACTGAACAAGCGAGATGGATGTAACTGAGTGAGTGTATTATAGGTGGCTGGTGGGGTACAGACTAAGCCCATTCTTACATTTGCTGAGTGTATTATATTACATCTCATTTCATCCTAGTTTGGAACCATCACTCGTATTATTTTTTCTAACTGGTCACACTTGGCGTTATACATTTTCAGTACTTATTTTTAATATTATATATTTTATTATTTCTTCATTTATTTTTTTGTATTAGAACATATTTAAAATATTGTAACCGTAAATTATAAATATTTTGAAACTTGTTATATTAGAAAAATTTAAATTTGACCTATAAAACGAATTTCTTTATTACTTTCCTCTACTTCTTGTTTTTTTTTTTTAGGTTTGTGGGGCATGTTAAACTTTTAAGAATTATTTTAAGCATAATTACATGTAATTATACATTTTGGAGGCTGACTTACCCATATCTTCTACGCCTTCTGGCTCTAGGAGGTCCATCTTCATTACGTATATCATACCCATATATTGATATAAGCTCTGTTCGTGATTTAGGTGCCTGTTCCGTATCATTAAATCTATCATGTGACCATTTCTCTTTTTTATCTTGCCACACTTTCTTCTTTGCCTCTTTATCTTTCTCAGCTTCTGGTGCCTCAGTTACTTCACTAAAATTAAATATTATTCATTTTGCAAATATTTTCCCCTTGTCTCAAGAAAATACAACAGTAATTTAAAATATTAATTTTATTTCTAAAACAGTAAATAGTTTTTAAAATCCATATACAACTAATTATTAATTTGTAATAAAAGCTTGTATGCCTTTAATAATAACATTGGTCAACACCAAAAATGTTTCTGGCCTAAGAATAACTAATTACTTTTAATTTTAGCATGAGCAAAACAAATAAAACCTTTTTAAACCCTTAAGGAGCCACCGCTGTGCAGGTTGTTTACCTGGAAGGTAGTGGGTGGCGAATTACCCAAGCAACCCGCCAAAAGTAACCCGTGAGATACGTTTCCTCAAATCATTGTGGGCAGAAGTTGCCAAAGAACTTAGTATTGATGGACACTCTCTCTAGTTTGTCTTGCAAAATGAACAATTTTACAAAATATCAGTTCATTCGGAAAAAATCCTCTAAGGTAAATAATTACCTTATTAACAATATTAATGTTCCAAATATTGGACAACAAAAAGTAGGAA